TTCTTAGAAATGGTGGAACTATTTTACACTATCTGAATAATAATGAACAATGCTGCTCAGTGATTTATAACTCTAAGAGCTCTATAATTTGATTTATGAGCAGCTCTCAAATTTTCCATTGGCAGTTCATACAACTATGAGTAAATTTTCTGGCCAAATGACTCAGTATTTTGCTGCATGACTAAGCCCACACTCAGTGTGGAAACTATACAAATGAATTCTATTTGCTTGCCGATAATAAATGATTACTTTCCAAAAACTGTCTGCAAAGCACTATAGAGTAAATGAATTCAATTATATTGACATTTTTAAACTCCCAAACTCAGCAGATTTTTTTGAGAAATATGTATGTTCACAAAAAAGAACATTTGTCCCCCACAACCTTACCATGGATTCCACAACCCATAGGACAACAAATCCTAAGTAGGCTCTAAAATTTCTAAAATGTTAAAAGAACAATTTGGAATGATTCCATGTGAAACATTATCCCTTACAAGGATGACTTTAAAGTTATTTTTAAAGTTTTTGTTCTGGTAAAGTGAATATAAAGTCTTTCCCAGGGAAGATTTGCTGAAAATATTTGATATTACCGCAAATAACATTGTTTTTCCTTCAAAAATTATAAATTTGAAAAGACAATAGTGATCCATCCACATGATGGTTCCCCTGATTGTGGTGGCTGGAAATGGCCTCCCAGACTCCATAGGTGATGGAAGTCCTTCCAGATGATGTAGCTTCTACACCTTCCAATACAAGAACATGCATATTGTTGACGCAGGGCCTGGTCTCAGATTGCCATGAAAAACCATTTGGGAATAAATGGGCCACACAACACATTTCCTCAGTTCCTCCCAATTTCTCTCACGCCACTTAATTTTGAGAGTAAAAAACTTCACCTAGGAACAAGTACCAGGCCCTAAGTCAGTATGATTTATTTCTCATCATTTATTGCTAGAGCTATTTTTAGCTAAACAAAAAGTTTAGGTAAAATATTTCAGTGTAATATTTCAATGTCCTTGTGTGATTACCAGTTGGGTAATTTACTCACTCTCATATGGGGTTGTAATAAAAACTTACAGACAACCTGGGCTAATTTCCAAGGCATTCTTATCTTTCCCCAAAAGTCATTTTTGGAGTCTGAGCCGGAGTAGCCAAGGTTGGTGGGGAGGAGACCATGGGCAGGGAGCCATCAGCACTAGTCAGGGTCAACTTTAACTCTGCAGAGTCAAAAGCAGGCTGACAGCAGAAAGAACCAGTCTCAGGGACTCAAGGTACGTTCAAACGAATGGCCAAACCACAAATGCCGGAAGAATGCCGTCTTCTCCCCTCTTCGTCTCTTACTTTCTCTCCCAGCGATGGCTTCATCTCCCAAGTTCCCTAGAAACTTGTTCAAGTACCCCTATCCTGACTAAAGGACCTTTAATGGCCTTTATTCAGGCTTTAATTGTATTTCTACTCATCCCTTTTAGAGTTCAATTTCTCCAAAGATTGTAGACAATGGCTATCTCCTCTATTTTTACCTCCCACTCCCTCTTCAACCCATTAATATCTGGTTGCAGCCTCTCCCACTACAATGAATCAGTTCTCTGGAAGGTTTTCAGAGGTCTCCAAGTCACCAGTTCTCAGTCCTTGTCCTTCTTAACCTCCCGTTTGTGCATCTGTTCTAGTAAGCACTCAATTGGAACACCTCCCACTTGGCTTCCACAGTCTTGCCTTCTGCTCTCCTTCTCCAAGCCACAAAAGGAAGCCATCTCCAAAGTTCTGATTCCACTTCTTTCTATGGTCTCTCTTCCTTAGACATGTTATCCATGTCCTTGACTTCAGCTATAATTTATGTTGATGACTCCCAGTCTATCTCTGGTTCTGACCTCTCCACCCATGCTTCCACGAGCTTGCTGGATAATTTCACATGGATGTCTTTCCGACACCTCCACCTCAATGTGTATGACACTCAGTTTGTCATCTTCTCCTTCAAAACTGTTCCTCTACCCTAGCTCAAAACTTGAGTCATCTTCAGTTCCTCCCTTTCCCTCAATTGGTCGATACACAGCTTAGAGTAGAGCCTTCTCTTCTTCCTGACGTTTCCTCCTGATCCATAAATTAGGAACTGGCGCCACAACTTCCTACCTCTAGTGGAGAACTGCAGAAGACGTTTCTGCCATTTCATTAGAGCCCCTTACTCACTCTTGTCTTTGGGAGGTGGAGTGACTTCGTGATGAGGGAAATGGGGGAGGGCCTGCCAGCTTCCAATGGGCAGAGCTGATGTATAAAATGTCCCTTCCTACACATGGTCCTGCCTCTTGCTCACTCATGCTGCATGCCTTGTGAGTTGGAGAGTGTCAGGCTCTTTTTATCCTCTGGTCTGCGGGTAAGAAGTAGTACAAGTATGGCTCCTTCCTGACTTTGTGCTGGGAAGGCCTATGGTTCTTTACCTGTGGCTGGGTGGGCACGCTGAGTCAGAGAAGAAGGAATAACATGCCCCATTTTGGCCTTGGGTCTAAGCCATGTCCTTCAATCTGACTTTGCTCTGAATAAAGTTAATATTTTAATTTCCTTTGGCTCCTCATGTGTGTTCTCAGTTTGGTTGAGAATCCAAGGGGAAGCAGGGCTATACAAAGGATCTTCTACACGCCTGATGCAAAACTCTCTCAACTATTCTTCCCAACTCACTTATCTTCTCTTGGGTGATAGTGCTAACTCACCATCATAAAAAGTCAAAAGGTTACATAAACTGTTCCATTTTGATTTTTCATTTCTTTGCATGAAAGATTTGGCCATGGCCTTTCCTCCTCCATTCCTAACCCCAGACATTAAATTTTTTTGTGACTTTAATACAATGTCAATTATTCTTTTTTAATGAAAACCTAGCAGAATGAAAAGGTATGAATTATACTAAATTAACTTCCATAAAGAATTGATTGGCTGATTTAATATTTATTGAATTCCGCAGTGCATTAGGCATCACAGAAACACACAGAAAGAAGCAATTAATAACATGCCATTATTTGGAGAAGGAAATGATAAATTAGCAACAAACAAATCAGAAAATAACAAGGGAATCTAAATATGAAATTCTTTCAATGACTTGGTTTGCTTATTATTAGTATCCTTGAGATAACTCATGCAAAGAACAGAAATGAATGCAACTAAAAAGAAATATCTATAATCCTACTTGCCTGCCAAGAGAGATAAATGATGTTCTTGGGTGCACTTGAAACTTATAAATGGCTGCAGCAAGACGCAGGAAGATAACAACTGTGCTAAAGTAATAGCTCAGAAAACCATAATTGCTATTTAGTTGCTTTTTGTTGTTAAAAATGCAGTGTGGGGCAAACTGGTTACTATGCTGTGTTTGTGGTCTTAAGACACGTTTCAAGGATATTTAGGCCATTTTTGGCTCACTCACAAATTTTAGTCAATGAGAAGTAGAAAGTAAAGATGATCTTCTAAATTCAACTAGTTATTTCTCCCAATGTTTGCAGAAGGCTAATTCAGTTTGGTTGCTGTTTTAAATTATTCCACCAGGCCACTGTGAGTGGATGCGGTAAAGAAGTCTTCTTTCCTGATGTGCCACACAGTGCAGGCTCTCAGGATTCTCTTCCATAACACCTGCACAGCATAGGAATGCTGTCTCTCGCCGCAGCGGGCTGCTGTATCAGGAAACCTTCCAGCAATGTGCACACGATGCAGGGCTGCCTGTCAGCCCTGAGTGGCAGGGAATGAGGAAGCCTATCCTGACCTGTAGCAGCCTACATTCTGACATTCAACATTCCCTTATAAGGGGGCGTCCAGCAAGCAAGGTCCTTCCATCTTCAACCCCAAACAATCAACTAAGATGCAACACGTCAACAACTTGAATGTTCATTTTGTTTCAGGAAACAAGTTTTACAGAAGAAAACTTCATCCGTTGTCTCCCAGGTTTATGAATCTGGCATTTAAGGACGCATTAGGTAATGCCTTGTTGAGTTTCCTTTAATACTGACACACACTCATGTTAAAGGCCTGAAGAACATCAATGGTTAAGCTTTTCTGCAGAGCTGTACAGCTGATTTTGTACAGTTAGAAAGCAACACTGACCTTGAGATCCTACAAGCAAATAACAAAACTCGAGTATTGTCATCGATTCTCTGCTTTTCAATTTTACAAATTACTTCTTTATGACGCAAGTTCTTCAGTTTCCTAAATATTCCACAGTTGAGTCCACCTCAGTAATCAGAAACTCCAAAAATGCAGTAATGTGTTATAATGTGTTACTCTGTCATCATAACTGCAGTTTCCTTATGTGAGTTAATAAAAGCAAACAAACGAAACACAGCCCCACGCAGGGAAAGCCAGCCTTGCCTCGGGAGCAGCTTAACGCGGCGGGGGCCCCGGGCCAGCCGGCCAAGGCCGCAAGATGCCGCAGCCTGCAGGCGCCGCAGCGGCTTCCTGGCCAGGTGGCCCGGGCGGCCGCAGAAAGGCGCACTGCAGCGCTCCCGCCATACCTTCTGCCTTGGCATCGCACCAGCGACCACTGTCAAATTTCCCGGCCACCAACTCTACTGTACTTTTTGCTGGTGATGAAGAAATGGGAGGGGGCAGGAGGGAGACAAGAGGGAGTGTGTGCATTTGAAGTGTGACAGAGCATTCCTTCCTCACACTCCCTAAAAGATTTCTCCTCAAAATATTTACAAGCCAATCCCCAACTTCCCTCATCTGCCAGTTCCCTAAAACGGAAATTGCCTCTCCCTTCAAACGCACTAAACACGGCAAGGTTGCACGGTGAACGCATGGATACAGGAGGATGGAAAGTGCCCATCTCTCGGCTGCCAAACAGCGCCAAGTTTGGGGATGGACCAGTTCACGTCTGCAGAGCGGAGCGTCCTAGTGGGGAGCGCTCCCAGTTACAGGGGCTGGGACACGGGTGGGCCTCCCAGCCTGGAGGACCCCAATTCCCAGGGAAGGCCCTTCCCGGCGTTCACGCTTCAGCGTGCGAGGGACCCCCGCAAGCAATAGCTCACCCGGCTGCATCCTCCAAAGCCCCAGCCTCGGGGCGGGGCGCGGGGAGGTGGGAGGTTGGGGCAGCACCGCCTGGAGGCTCCCGCCAGCGCCTTACAGTTTCCCCCCGGCTCCTCGGCGCCCCCTGACGCCGGGCTCCCCGGCAATTCGGCCGAGGGAGACTGGAGAGGCGGAAGCCCCAGGTGTCGGGGAGTGGAGAGGCGCCCGGCCGTGCACCCGCGGACGGCGCGGCCGGGCGGGCGGGCGGCCCCGCGGGAGGGCGCTGGGCGCTCAGGCCCGAGCGCAGCCCGCGGCCGCCGCCGAAGCCGCCGCAGCCATGTCCGCGCGCCCGCGCTGCCGCAGCCCGGCCGTGATGTCATCCGCCGAGCCCCCGCCGCGGCGCCCCATTCCCGCCCCCCGCGGGCCGCCGCGGCTGCAGCCCGGGCGCCGCGGCCCCGCCCCGCCCCACGTGCGCCCGACTCCGGGATGCCGAGGCCGGCGGCGGCCGCAGGGCGATGCGCAGGGCCCGGGTGGCCGCGGCGGCAGCAGCGCTGCTCCTCCCCGCCCGCCGCGTCCCCGGCGGGGCTGCGCCCAGGGGCTGCGCACAGACGGGGGCGGGGGCCCCGGGGAGGGAGGGGGGAGGCTCCCCGCCGCCAAGTCCCTGCCTCGTCGCCGTCTGCTGAGTCATGGCCAGCGCTCCCCGCAGCCCGGGCTCACTCTCTTAGGGCGGCAGGCGCGGGGTGCTCAGCCATTGGGCTGGGCGCGGGCCGCGAGCGCCGGGCATGACGCGCTGAGCCGCGCTCGCCCGTGCCCGCCGCCCCGGCGTGCGCCCCGCGCGGGTGCCTGTGCCGCCGCCCTCCAGCCCCGCCGCGAGCCGCCCCCGCCTCGCCCGCACCATGATCGCCGCGGCTTTCCTCGTCTTGCTGCGACCCTACAGCATCCAATGTGCCCTCTTCCTCTTGTTGCTTCTGCTGGGCACCATCGCCACCATCGTCTTCTTCTGCTGCTGGCACCGCAATCTCCAGAAAGGGAGGCATCCGATCAAATCGGTCTTTTCGGGTCGTTCAAGGAGCCGAGGTAAGACACGCCACCAAGGGCTTCTCCGGGCTCGGATGAACGGTTAAGCGGATTTGGAGAGAGAAGCCCGGCTCGCTCCCGTCTGCGCTGCCGCCCCTTGCCCCGTCGTTGCCCACTCCCCAAGTTCAGTATGTTTGCTGTCTAACGTCCCTTGCCCCTCTTGCCCTCACTGTCTTCCTCCAATCTGCCGGGTCGGGATAACCACGGCGATTCCGGGAGCAGGGAGGGGAGGAACGGATGAGGATTCTTAGTATGTTTGCTGAAGCCCGAAGGGTAATTGGAGCCGGGTCCCGGGCTGCGGCAGCCTCCCTTCACCCATCCGTCGCTGGAGCTTAGGGGTAGGAAAGTAAGGCATGGAGAGTTCGGGGCTCCCCAACTACCCCAGAACTTTCCCTGAAACTTCTCGCGGAGAAATCACCTAGAGACCGATGGCCTAGTAACCTCCCTGCCCTACAGGATGTCCCCACTGAATTCAGGGCGTCTGGAACGTGCCTTCCCGACCCTTGTCCCCCAGGTAAGTCACTAGTAACTGGGCAGGTGAAGAACAAGGAGTTAAATGAAGTCTCGTTTTTCTCTTTTCTCCCCAGATGCTGTTATGAGATCTCACCACTTTCGTTCTGAGGTAATTTATTTAGCGCGCACGCTCAAGGTCAGAAGAAGTTCTCTTTCCTGAGTACCAATATTAGTCATAGGCGTGTTTAAGGAGCCAGTAGGGCGTTGAATGGCGAGCATGCTGCCCCCAAGCCGAAAGTGACGTTTCTTTTTAAGCGAGTCCCCAACATTAACGCCCAGCGAACGGTTTTAGCATGTTCCTTGTGTAGTGGAGCCGCTGTGCAAGAGAGGGAATGGCAGCCTCTAACAGCACTACTGACCTTAGGACCTTAGTCACCGGGTGGTTCTCAGCTTCGTTTACAATCTGTAATTTCCGGTGAAGCTGTCTGGGTGCTGTCAGCTGGCTGTGGTTGTTCACTCGGATAACCAGCGACAGAGGAGAGCTTTCAGGAAGTTAGCGCAGAGCAGTTTGATCCTTCTGCATTTCATTTTAGACTTTCAAGGTTACCTTCCTATTCACGCACAAAGCTCTCCGTGTTTTATTGGGGCCCTCTGATGATTTTTGCCAGGTGATGGTGGTGGTGATCCGGCTTTATCTGATCATGTGTGCTAGTCTGTCCTCTCAGAATGTGGACCATCCCTCCGTGAGCAGGTGACCTGGGTGCAGTGAGTAGGTGGGACTGCTGTAGGTCCAGCTCCTCTGAAGAGAGAAAAATGACCAACACAAGATCTCCCTGATCCAGCATTCCTTTATGAGTTTCAGGCCATCTCCGACTTCGTGTGAGATGATTTTCCCTCTTTTGGGAGAGTTTCACACAGCTGGGCTTGGAGGCTACTGTACCAGTGCTTGATGTGGGTTCCTTATCTCAGCAAAGACTTTATAGTTAGACACCCTCCATTTACTTGCTGTTTACCTGAGAGCTTATCTCACGTTTCGTTTCATTGGTTAATCAGATGTTTTATTGCACCCTAGATGTTTTGTTGGGCTCTGGTTGCTTGAAAGCTTTGGCTGCAGTATTGTAACATTATTAGAATGTTGCACAATGAGTAATTCTTCTGCATGTGGCCTGGAGGGTGAGAACTCTCTGCTCAGTTTTGGATACTTAAGAGAATAAATTAACCAGTCAGGTAATCAGAGGTTCCATTCCTAGCTTTACACTAACTGCGTGGTGCTGGAAAACTCTCCTAACTTCTCAGCCCCTCAGATCCCCGTCTGTAAGACAGGACCAGCAGTACTTTGCAGGGTTGTAGCGGGAGGGCGGGTTTACAAGTAGTTATGTAAAAAAGCCCACTTAGTTCACAGGAGGCATTCAGTACTAGGTCACTGTCGTTACATTTTGTAAGGATCAATTTTAAAATGTGTAAAAATAAAAGATGTTTGCCAAACTTAAAATCTTTTAAATTAATTAATGCAAGTTTATGGGAAACAACATAAACCATGTCTATTATGAAGCAGCACTTTTTGAATATCTCATTAATTAGTAGAATAACTCATTTAAATGTGAACAAAAAATAATGGTCGGGGTACAAACATCACAACTCAGGATTTTGATTTTAAAAAAAAGGAAATTACCAGTTCCATACATGTAACTGGATGTAACCAGAATAATAACCCTGTTATGGCTTATTGTATTAACCATCAGGCATTTTAGCTAAAGCACAAACGGAAAGAATGAGATGGGGCTATGTCTTGTTTAGCTCTCTCTCAGTTAAGCATTTGTCCTGAGCTTGCATTTGGTTAGGAAAGCTGCAAGCACTTGTCTAGTGCCTGAACTCAGTTCCCAAAATTCCTGGTACAGTTTGGCATCCTGTCTGTGTTTCATATTTGCCTCCTCTGCTGCCTGTGAGCTCCTTGAGGCATGGACTGTGTCTCTCGTGTTTAGGGCTGTATCGCCACTGCCTGGTACATAGAGGGTTCTTAGTAAATATTTATTGCATGAATGAAAAATCCCTCAGTGGGTGCTGATTCTCGTAACTGGGCAAATAGAATTGAGTTGGGCAGGAAAAAAAAGCACATCGTCAGGACATTGCTCAAAATTCAACATTTGCAGAGTCTTAACTCATTTTATATTTCTAGGCTTTTAAAAATTGCCCTGGAGTTTGTATTAAAAATGTAAGTCACTAATTATAACAAAATGGATTTGCTTAGAATATTTTTTCCCCTAGAAAATTAAATGTAGTATTAGCTTAGTTTGTGGATGGGCTACCTCTGTTCCTTTTCGTACCAAGTTCCTTGGATAAACTACTCAAAAAATGTTATTTTATAAGTAAAAATCCTGAGACTGTGTTGCGTGAGAATGTCATATTTCATCATGGTTTTATGTTTACCGCAAATAAAACATTCTCCCTTAAGGAAAATGTAGGGAATTATTTTTTCTTCTCCCTTTCTATCAAAGTGCCATTTCCTGCAGGATTTTCTCCTTGAGAAATATCTCTGAATTTTTTGGATGATAGCATATTAAAAAATTAGAATTTGAGTAGCATAATGGATAGTCGTGTTGTTGCTTTTTAGCAGTAGCTGCTACAAAATAATTATCAAAGAAAATGTTTTGATTTTCTGACAAGTCATAATCATATTGAACTAAGAAGGCAGTGTCTTCTGTTCCTCATTCCAGTCTCCGTAAGTGGATAATTCACTTCCAGCATTTCTGTAGTGGTCAAATGAGGAAAATGAGTGTAGGATCTGCTGACTCATTTTGAAATGGGAAAGCTTTGGGAAAGCTCTCGAACACATGAAGAAGTTCAGCTCGCACTTTGCTGCTTTACTTGGCAGAGGATATTGCTTCTGCCACCCACACACCCAGGAAGGAGGCCAATTGGATGGGAATTTCGGGATGTTCCTTCCCAGGTAGTCAGAGAGTACTTCTCCCAGGAGGAAAACCATGGCATCAGCACCCCGTTGCTTTGGGGAAGTTCTGCAGCGAGGAAGAAAGCCACAGCTCTCGTCTGAGGAATTCTTCAACTCAGTTTCTTCCTCATGAAGCTAGAATTAAATAATATAGATGTTTATAAGATGTTTTGGAACCATAACCACCAACGGCCCTTTTTATTTTCACATACTTGCAAACTCATCTTTACTGGCTTCATAGTCCTCTAAATTTTAATAATAGCATATGAGAATGTGAAATTATTAATCCATCCAGCAAGGGCTGAACCGTATAACCCCAATTCACGGACAGATAAAAAGGCCCAATTAGGTGGTTAGAAATATGTGTTTTATGTATGAATCTAAAGAACTTATGCAGTATTTTTTTTTTTTTTTGGTCATTAACAGCTAATGAAGGGAAGCGATTTCACGTTGATGTAGGACACAGACTAGAAACCCAGTGTTCTGGGTATCTAAGAAGTGTGGTTTTCCTGAGGATTTATAATGTTTTCTGCTGTGACTTTACACAATGGTTAGCTGTTACCCTAGACTCCTGTGGTGAAGATCAGGTAGTGACAATCCTGATTTTAGGGAAATTTTGGAAAGTGATATGGGTAATTGAGGTACCATTAGATTATGAGAAAGAGTCCTGGGAGTACTTCAGGAGAATGAAGACAATTATAATGCCCTTTGAGAATACCCAGAGTGAACAGCCGTAAATGATCCC